TGTCCTCGTAAGCCGGGTCGGCTGTCCTTGGGGAGTCGGGAGGCGCACAGGTGAGCCCGTTAACCACCTGGAGAGCTGCCCGCTGCTGTTGAAAGGTGAAAACAAATTCCGTGGACATTCAGGAACGCCGAACATAAGCGAGGAGGTGTGCTTGGCCGGGCCATGCCTATATGCCTCGGTGTAAGGAATACTACCCCTTTCGCAAAAGACACATTTGGAAATACATTGGCAGGGGACATGTCTTGGAACAGAGTATTTTAAATTCATAATAAATTGTCAGGAGTTAAAGGGGGACAGCAATGTTGGCGCAAGGACCTGTTTACTGGCGGGAACAAGTTGCTTAGGTTGGTCAGGAGAAAAAGAGATTGTAAAGAAAGAATCTGCCTGACCCAGGGGAAGGGGCATTTAGAGGCATTCCCTTTGGTTAAAACAGGAGTGAAATCGTGTGTCAGGGAAGGATCCTGACTTTACATAAGTGCTGCAGGCATCTGAACAAAGAGTGACTAAATAAGAAAGAGATACTGGTGGTGTCCTGGATAATTAAATGAAAACATGAATGCAGTGTAGGAAGGTGAGGGAAAGTAAACTGTATTTTGGTTGCCATTCGAAGACGCATTTTTTAAAAAACCTTTCCAATATAATAATTCCGGTATACAAATGTATCAGCACACTACAACATTGGTCAATGTACCTCCAAAACCACCTTGTAGCATTTGGAGATGTGCAGAACAAGGCAGTCAGAACCATCAAGTAGCTGGAGCAGTTCTTTGAGGAGAAAGAGGACATTTGAAGTTTTTTGTTTTGAAATGAAGTAAATAAATTGAGGAAGGGTGTAAAGAAGGTAAAAAAGGAGAAAAATTATCTTCAGTATTAGAATATAATGACAGGAGTGTCAAGAAAGGACAAAAACGAGCACTTCACCGAGTTTATTGGGTGTGCTGTATGTCACAGTGAAATTAGTTCTCTAAGTTGTAGATAGCTGCCAGCTTGGACAGCTTTAAAAGAAGTTTGGACTAATCTGTGGAAGAGTAACTCTGTTAGTAAGACCTGGTGGCACGCAACAACAACAACAACAAAGACTTCATGGCTACAATTTATGTCAGGTTTATATTGTCAAAAACACTGTGCTCCTTCCATTGCTGAAAGGATGATCAGGAGGGTGCTACTGTGTTTGTCCTGTTCATGTGCTTCCCATCAGCAACTGGTTGATTACTGTAGGAACAGCATGTTGGACTAGACGGCTTTAGTCTCATCTGGCAGGGCTTTCCAGTGCTTTGTGATATCCCTTCTCTTGAGAAAATGCACACATTTCCCCCCATTTGAAGGCTGAACTGTGGTTCTTTAGTCTCTGATTTCAAAAACGATAAGATCTGTATTTCCTTTGAGTACCATCCCACTAATTTTTGTGGGGCTTGCTTCTGAGTAGACACACATTGGATGACACTGTTCATCTTCTTTCATTCAGTCTTCATCTAGTATGTGTGGAAACAGGACACGTATTACTTGAAGTATTACTTGTATGCTTGACTGAGTGAAGATCGTACAGGCTGCAAATCGTTGTTAAACCTAAAACATGTACTCTCTCTCCTGCTCATTTGATTCTTCTGTTCATCTTCATAGGATTTTTATTTTGCAGTATGTCTTCAGTTGTTAATGTAAGATAATTAATATTTATTATATTCCCCCCTTTTTTCAAGGAGTTCAGGGTAACATCACACAGACTTCTACTGTATCCTCACCTCATACCTGTGTTATCACACTAGAAATGGTGCTGGAGCAAGACTGCCTATGAGCTTTGTGGGCTGAGTGGAACTTGAACCTGGTCTTCTTAATCAGGCAGCCATACTGTTGCACTACACTGGCATTGCCATGTGATCCTTTGCATGTCTACTTGGGACTATCCAGCTGAAAATAAAAATAAAACAAAACTTTGCAGCACTTTAAAGACTATTATATGTCAATTAACAGTCTTTAAGATGCCACACATTTGTAATTTTTGTTTTAATTTTTGTCTGGATTTACTTGCACAAACTTCCACTTCTTTGAAATCTATTTGAGAAATAAGTGCAGTAAAATTTAACTTGGGATAAATATTTAACAAACCTGCAGGATTGCAATCTTCTGAAACGTTTGAGTCAAGTTTTTGTGCCACAGAGTACTGCAGGAAGGAGAAGGGAGTCTCAGTACCATTGGTAAGAGCAACAGAATGTATTGGTAGTGCACGTTAGATGCTTCCCATAAGGTTGTTGGATTCATGTTACTGGAACAGTTGCTGTTCTAGTTATATGAATCCAAAACCTCCTTAAACACATGAGCCACCCTGAACATAATCAGTCTCATTTGATTTTGGAAGCAGGGCAGGGTTGGGCCTGATTAATGCTAGGATGAGAAGCCATCAGGGACCTGTTGGACCTCTCCATTTAGACCCTGGAGAGTTGCTGGCATTGTGTTGCCAGTACTGGTTTAGAGTGACCAATGGTTTGCCACAGGTGGTTTCCTGTGTTCCTGTTACCTAATTGCACAATCCTGGGATCCTATTTATTATTTTATTTATTTTATTTATATCCCACCTATCTAGTCGATTAAGACCACTCTAGGCGGCTTACAACAAAGAATACAACAATATAAATAGAAACAGTTATACATAAGGGAAAAACTTTCGACAAGATGGGACAAACACTAGGGAGAGGAAAGAGGGGAAGATCAGGAATTGGCTGAGGGGAAGGCCTGCCGAAACATCAATGTTTTTTTAAGGTTTTATTTCTACTACAAACACATATACAGATTCCCCCGCACCCTCCCCGTTTCGAGGACAAGGATTCAGACCATATTACAATCCAGCTTTCCCAAATTCCAGAGAGCATTGAAGAAAACAAAACAAAACTTAAAAAACGGCAATCATTTTACCCTATCTTCAAATCTGGCTCTGGGCCCAAACATGTATTAGGTTTCAGCTTTGTTTTGCATAGTCTCTTGGTTGATCTCGTAGCGCTTCTGATAGTGTATCCACAATCATTTTGCCCTATCTTCAAGTCTGACCCTGGGCCCAAACATGTATTAAGTTCCAGCTTTGTTTTGCATAGTCTCTTGGTTGGTCTTGTAGCGCTTCTGATAGTGTATCCAGTTCTATAATGTCCAACAGCTTCTTCAGTAACTCCTCCATTGTAGGAACATCTTCACTTTTCCATTTTTGGGCCCAGAGTATCCTAGCTGCTATCAATATATACATCAAACAATATTTAATTTTCTTGTCGGTAATTTCTGGCATAATATTCAATAATGCTATTTCAGATTTAAAATTTAATTTCCTTTGAATAATTCCTTTTATCATTTCCCACAACTGTGACCAATAGACCCTGGCTTTTTCACATGACCACCACATATGATAATAAGTTCCCACTTTTTTTTTTACATTTCCAACAGATATTACTGCTTCCTTCTGACATTTTTGCCAGTTTTATGGGAGTATAA